CGCTGCCACTGGGGAAAACAGGAGCGCTGGTAGTGCTCTGCCCTTCCCCTCGAGCCCCGCTGTCGGCACAAGCGCCTTCCGCGCTGAGAGCTGGCCTGTGGGGAGCCCCGTTTCCCTGAGGCCGCCTGTGGAGATCTTCCTGTCGCGGGTGAGCGTGTAAACACCCCCGCCTCTGGTCTGGACACTCTAGAGATGTGCTCATCCCCCTCCTGCCGGCCTCGGTCGGAGATCTGTGACGAGCTTAAATTTTAAAAGCTCTTAATGTGTAGCGAGGTATGAACATAGCAATAAATAAACTGTTTAAAGCTCTTCTAGAGCCATCACGGGGATCTTTCATTTTCTTACATGGATGGTTGTTTGCTGGTTGGTTATGCTGCATTTAAACTGTAAAGAAGTTAAGCCCGAGTGGTGGGTTGGCTGTGGAGTCCGGTTCTGTGCTCCTCCTGAAGTGATGACTTTCTCTCAGGCTTTTTGCTGCGTGACACAGAGTTTCTTCCTGACATTTTAAGCTGATGTTGAAGGTTTTCAGTGGAATAAATCCTTACATGGTTTAGGTTATTTTTATTGCTAGAAGTAATATCCAAAGGGGAACCACAAAGGAATGCAAAGAAATGTCAGTGTGGCAAACTTGGGAGAACTGTGCTGAATTCTGTTGTGTTAGGACTAGGTAATCTCCGTGTTGCGCATGCACTCTATTCCAGTTTACACAAATGAAGAAGAGGTCCTTGTTGTTCTTCAGTTAAGCATTTATGATTTTTTTTGAAACATTTCTTTGTCACTTTGGTGAAAAGCTGCACTCTGCTTAGCTCTGATTTTTCTTGACTTGCCCTTCCTGCCTGTTTTCATCCTGTATGGTCTTTCCTGTTCCCCGCTCAGTAGGCTTCATTTCATTCGTTGATACAGAGACTAATGCTGGTAATGGGAATATATGGTAATATACTGTCATTTGAGTTGTATCTGCTCTAGTTGTGATAGATGACTGGAGTTGTGCTGGTGTTCGGATGACTGAAATTGTTCTTGAGGTTCAAGTTTATGAACGAGTGCTGGGAGTTAATCGAGTCTCTAGTTTTACCATGGAACAGCTGATGTGCTCTCACTGCCTGCCAGCATGGTCTTGCCTGTGATAAACACGGCATAAGAATTTCCATGCGAGCAGCTCTCACAGAGCAATGGATGCATTGTAAGGTTATGTCCTGGCTTGCTTTGTGGCAGTTCATTCCTTTTCCTTACTTAAAAGAGTGTTTCTGCAGTCATCACAGTGTTGTTACATAATTCTTTTAGATTCTCTGCGATTTCCGTCACATACGTCTCCTGTAAGCATCTCTGACTTTAAATGCAGCAGATGCTTGATGGTTCTTGAGGAAAGTTGAATTTCTAGCAGTTGTTACAGAGGTTCTAAGAAAAACAGGGCTGTAATAGTAACTCACTGGTTTCGGATGGATCGAGAATCCTCAAGACTTGCTTACACAGGAAACAGGAGGTTGGTTGCTGAGTGTCAACATGCTTAGTAAAAACTGATTCTTATTTCTTCACAGAATTTTTTAAAAAAAGACTACAGAACAAGATTCTGCCATGGAGGAGGGTAATTTACATTTAAAATTTTTTTCTTAGATACGATTGGAAAAATTGTGTTGACTTTTGTCTGAGAGCTTAATGTAGAAGTTATTGAGTGTATGCTATTAAACTGATCGTATGATGTCTTCCAAACTTCTTGTATTTCGTAGTGGTGGGAGGAGCAAATTTTGTGAGCTTACCGAATTAGCTGTTTTTAAAGGCATATAATAATCGTTATGGGAGAAATGCTCCATAGGTTTTCTCTTGTTAGTTTGGGTTTTTGATCAACATGGTCCAGGCAGAAGAGAATTTCTGCCATTTTCATTTGCCCTGGGGAGGTCTGAAACAGAAATCCAAGGAGCATTTCTTACAAATTTGATACCTCAAGCTAACCTTGCTGCTGAATCTTTTCTAGATGCACAGGGTAACTGTGGATAGGTGGTAGAAAGAAAAGCAGCAGGTGACTCCTTGTATGAAGAGGTAGATGTGCAACCTACACATTTCATTTTTGGATCTGCTGAGACTGGATCACTGTGCAGGCAACATTACTTGAGGATTGATTTTTTTTTTTTTATAATTTGTTATTTCAAGTGAGATCTCTCTTCATCCTAAAGCTCTTTTACAACATGAGGGTTGCTGCAGTAGTTGTATGCTTGCTTTTATGTAGAGATATTTCTTCATTCTCATCATGTTTTGTGACAGTGGGGCTTTTTTGTCCTGGAAACTTTATTTAGACAGGCATATTTGCAGATATCTGTGCATGGAAATGGTAGGTCAAGTATATTAAAGTACAATCCTAAGTATTAAGAACTTTAATGCTTTTATACTGCTGAGATAGGAACATTTAATACTTTTGATTAAAAATGCATTTTTTTTCCTCTTCTTTCTAGAAAGAAGATTGATATACGGCCAGGTCAAAACGTGCTGAAACTCATACAGGATTGTTTTGAAGGTAAGCTTTTGTTTGATGTGTTGCTTAATTTGCTGGTTAAATTAAAAAAAATTATTTCTTGTATTCTATTCAGTGGTAAATAAATAGCAATAAAATGGATAAAAATAAAGTCTTTCTCACAGTTTTTAAATGCATTCCCTTCCCAGCCCTTTAAAACTCTTGGCTGTCTTACAGAGGTAATATTTTTCCTGAGTAGTAGTTTCTTTCTTGTGTAGATTTGCGTGACCTTAACAAGCCTTACCTTGTTGGCAAGCCTTAACTTGTTAAAATAATTGAAATCTGGACACTTCCATGAATCCCTTATTTAGAGTTTTTTCTTTATAGATTGTGATGATGATCTTACAATAAACTCTCCAAGTGCAACCTGTTGCTCCACTCCTATTGTCAGAAATGAGGAGAAGACGACTTCAACACAGAGCCAGAGGGTGAGTTAGTTACGGCAGTGTCACAGCGTAGCGTTGAGTCCACTTTCAATTGGGTACAAAGTTTAGTTCTGTAGGATGTTGAATGAATAAGTTCTGTATGTCCCATCTATTAGTGTATAGGCTATAATTTAACCTTCTGTAATAGCTGGTGGTAACGGTTTTTTCTTAGCTTGTTGTGGTCTGATAGTGATTATTCCCTAATGAGATTTATTTAATAGCTTATTTTCTTGGCTTTTTGCTAATGAAAGCTTTTTCAGCTTTTTGTCCAGGATAGTTGAGTTTCTCATGGTCTCAGGTTGAAGCACGCTGCTTTATAACTGGTGGTGGGTGTGGCTGTCGGGCTCCACTGGGATTGGTTTCTGTATAGACACAGTTCTCAGCTATCAGAGGGACAGTAAAACTGAAGGATGATTCCTGTATAAACACAGCTTGTCAACTCCCCATAAACAGTTGTTATTTGTAAAATAACTTTGTGGAAAAGTGTAAACAAGTTGAAAGACTTCTAGTGCATTGTCTGAGAGAATGATGCAGATAGTCTAGTTTGTATATTTACTTTTAATATTTTTATTCTACTGTTTTTTGTAAAAGCAGGATATTCTATGAGAACAGGCATCCTTTCAAATGGTGCTTGTTTACTTTAGTCTGATGTTTGAATACTGTATAATCTTGAAGTAATTATTGCAAAACCTCAGCCTGACTTAATAAAGGCAAATTGTTTAAATTAATTCATTCTAATGAAAAGAATAAATAGCTTGCTTGTAGACTAGCAGGATGTCTGTTCAAAGCTGTAAATTGATTTTTACTGCACACAGCGTACCTGTTTGGAATTTACAGTTCTAGAAAGTCTTATGTGATAGAAAGTTGAAGTATTTAATTAAAATACAACTGTGCTTCAAATAAGTAAGAATTAAGGAAGGAAATTATGTTGTGTTCTGTAGAAAATTATATTCTTAACAAAATATTGTTGCTTTGTCAAATATTTTACTCTGTCTCATTGTTCTTTATTGACTATGACAGCCAAATGTAGGATTAACTAACTCTGTGAACAGAACCTGTAATCCTGTAGAGTCTGTTCCTGCACCATCACCACTAAAAGCAGTCAGCAGCAGAGGTTGGTAGCACTATTATTGAATGAAGTTTTTTGGGGTAACTATTTCTTGGGATTTTGTAAGGTTTTGAGTAATTAAAACTCTTGAATACGTATGGCAGGATGGTCACATGAATCACCCTTGAAGCCTGCAATACCTGATGACGTAGCCAATTCTGAAAAAATAGAGTCTCCTGCATCTGAAAGAGGAGTAAATAATGTCTTCAAAGATGTCCAAGTACTACACGAAAGTCCTGCCAAGTTTTCGGACCCTGAGGATGATCCTGGGTCTGTTGGATCACCTATTCTTGTGGAGGAAGTGAAATGTTCTCCTGTGCATATGTAAGTAGACCTGAATGTGGTGATCCCGTTTCCCCCTCCCCACCCCTCTGTAGGGTAAATTAACACGGTGGTTTCAATCAGTTATGAGTTTGGATTGTGAACTCATAAAAAATAGTTTCAAGCTTTTTAGAAAATTTCTGTGTCTGGGTTTAGAAAGGGCAGCATTGTTTTTTATGAAATATTCTGGTGATAAGGGTTAATTCCCAGAAGTGCAGTACCCCAGTGCAGGAAGCCTGTCAGGATAGATTTGAATTCCTTTTTTGCAGGAAAGTGCCCCAAATCATCAGCTTCTCAGATAGTATAGACTTTTTCAGTGAATCTTGTTGACAGTGTTGACCTTAAAAGTTAACAAAAAATTTGCTAAAGCAAATATGAACAGTCATTGTTCCTCTTGCTGTGAATATGCAAAGGTTTTATACAAAGTAGAACAACCTTAGTTGTGGTCATTATCTCCTCTTTGGAAAGTCTGAAGCCCAGCTGCAATAGTGGCCAGCGGTCCCAGCCACCATTTGCTTTCCTGGAGGACTGAATCTCCAGGGCAAGTTGTAGAGGAGGACCGACACTGGTCCCATAGACACGTGATGGAGTGAGATTGGGATGAGAGTGTACCTGGGGTCTGAGAAAACCTCACAATTCCCGAAGAGCATTCTCCTAAAATTAGGAATTTGTGCAGCCTGCACTTTGATCAAGAGTCACAAGCTGACCCCATGTTGCCTTACTGATTTGGACACTTGCTGCTGTGCTGGGAAGTGGTACTGCTGACCTGTGTTTCAGCAAATTACCTGACGGAAGCTCATTCGTAACAAGTCAGACACTGTCAGCAGGAGAAAATGAGAGCATCTGTCCATCCAGACGATACTGTCATGCTCACCCAGGATTTATAGCATCATGTGTGAATGCTTTCTCATACATAGGGTACATCTTGATGACCAAAATACTTCTGCTACAGTGAAGAGGCACGTGGAAGTTGGAAATTTGGAAGGACCACAAGCTGTGGGAGATGGGCAGGTTGTTCCTGTGCAAGGAACAGAACGTAGCACTATGTCTTCTGTACGGAAGGAGAAGTCGGCTTTCTCTTCGGCCACCGTAGCAGCTGTAGCACCAGGAACACTTGGAAAATGGTTTGGTTTGAGGCTTAATATGGCGCATAATTTGCTAGTAAAATAACCTAGTCCTGAGTACTGGAGCAACATCCTTTTATCTGGAAACATGGTCTGGGGTAATGTTTTGGGATGGTCTGTCATTACTTGAAAAAGGGTTTGAATAGTTGTTTGAAGGTTTTGTGCTGTTGGGATGTAACTGCAGTTGCTTTTCGTCTGCCAGTAAAATTAGCATGTAGCTATTGAATAGTATTTCAGATTGAGCCTGAGGTGTTTTGATGGATAGGTTGGAGGATTCAGGAAAACCTTATGTGATTCTGAAGTTAGCAGCAATCAGTCTTTTTTGGAGCTAATCAGGATCTGACCGGTTAGACAGAAAGTTGACTGTCGAGCATCTGAGAAATAATGATGTACTAAGATGAGGCCAAAGCAAGGGGAAGCAAGCTTTGTGCCCTTTTGGGAAGATAAAGGGGAATAAATGATGGACTTTATAATAATTCTTCTGAGGAATGTCTTGTAGCATGTTTAGGTTTTCTAGAGTCACCACTGGATTTGCAAGATTGAAGTTCCATTTTTTTTTCTCGTAAATGATTTGAATACTTTGTCCCTCCTTTCTTTAGGTATTCAGCCTCAATATCACCACCATCACATCCTCCTGTGACACATCAAGATATAGAAATGGAAAATGAATGTGATTTTGTAATTGATGAATCATATGGTGAATCTTTTAATTCTTGGTTTACAATACCCCGGAAGAACAAAAAGTCAAAAAAAGATGCCTCCGCAACTGCTGTTTTGAAATCTCAGCCCCCTGAAAAGGCAACTGCTGTTTTGAAATCTCAGCCCCCTGAAAAGGAGAAGACAGAAAGTAAGAAAGGCAAGAACACGAGAGTACAGGTTGAAGCACTTAGTAAACAGAAAATGCGTCATTTGGATGTCCAAGTACATGACTCCAAAGGAACATCGGGATTTGGTCCAGTCTCCTCTAACAGTAAAGGAAAGGTCCTGAAGTCTCAAAGGCAAAGCAGTACTCACGTGGGTAAGTTATTTAACAGGTCTTCAGACTTTTCCTTCTAGGTCGTATACATGGATTTTTTTTGGTGGTGCTTTATTGGGAAATGAGGATAATGTAGATGAGAGATGTTAATGGATTCCTAACTGATGTTTCTGTTGCACAGTTTGGTTTGGGTGTATATAAGGCAGGGAGACTGACTGTCTTTGCTCTTCCCCTCACTCCCAAGCCCCTTCTGTTAAAAATTAAGTTAACAGTGTTGCCTTTTCTTATGAGTAGACAAATAAGGTAGGTACCCACAAGCTTTTGCTCCTCTCTCCGGTGAAAGGAGTGTAAGATATGTGGTTTGAACTGGAGGGGATCAGTTTTTAGGAATTATTTGAGAAGGGTTTTGTAGCAGGAAGCACTGAAAACTGGAAAGCAGATTGAATGTAACATTTCTGCTTTTTTTTGTCTGCTAGGAAATACTGGAAATATACCAAAAGTACTGTTTTGAATTTTTCATATGCTACAGTTTAGGGAAAGCCTTCTTATAGATCTTAGGGAAAAATCTGCTTTTGTGATACTTTTATGATACTTGTGTTTATTTTTTTTGCATTCAGATGTCAACATATTCCTTCAAGTTTAATGGGTAAAATATATTAATGTCCAAGTGTTTTGTGTGTTGATAGGAAAGACTAAAAGAGGTGCACTTAGGCAAGGCTCTGCAAAGCAGAAAAAGGACACGTCCAGGAAACCAGAAGCTGAAGAACTGATGTTGTCATGGTCTGGATTGGAAACAAACACATCTGATGCAGAACAATGTAAAAGAAGGTTGATGCCAAGTGAGGATTCGCCTATGCCCTCACCTAGGCATCAGCAAGAGCGGACTGTGTCTCTGAAAAAGAATCTCAAGTCTTCAAAGCATCTGCAGTCGGCTTCAAAAGCTTCTCAGCATTTAGTTCCCAAGAAACAAACTGCTAAGCAGAAACTTTCAAAAGGTACAGTAGCTAAGAGACTGGCACAAAGTCCAAGGAAGAAGAGTAAAAAATCTGTCACAAAAAGTAGTAATAAAAAGCCTCAGTTACAAAGAGAGGAGAGTTCTGACAGTGAACCTGGTGAGGTGGGGCTTGAAAGAGAGCCTGTACAACTGGATGAAGTGTTTACCTCCCCCCTGCGTCGGAAATCAGAGACTTCTGTGGTTCAGAAGTTGGATAAGTCTGTAAAACCTAAAAATGTATTGCGTGCATTGGAGTCACTTGGCGGTGCAAATAACGCAGCTCCTGTAAAAGCACTACAGCATCTCACAGACAGCATGCAGAAATCTGAAAAGAAACGATCAGCTAAGTCTTCAGGGAAGATAAACAAAAAGGTTAATCACAGAATCACTGGCAGCATTTGCTCAGACTCTGAGGGCACCTCAGACACTGAAAATCCAATGGATTCTAACAGCTCTTCTGTACAGCACGGGGCGAGGAAAAAACAGAAGCTATCAGATGTGGAAATAAAAAGTAACAAAAGAAAACGTAATGTGCAAGCTGCACTACAGTAAGCTTTTTATCTAATGCTTTGTGAGTGTGGTATAACTTGGTAGATAATTCAACATATTTTGTGAACTTTTAAGAAGTAGTGATGCAGTTCGAGTATGTCAGTTTGAGGCTGGTTGAACAGCTAATAGAGGAACTAAGTGGTGTAATCAACATCCTATTCTCAGAGGTGGGTGCCAAACCTAGTGCCTGCTGCTACATGAGGAAACTTGCGCCAGAATGTCAGTGTTCTTTTGAGACCTGAGTAGCAGATCCAGTTTAAAAGCAAACTAAAAAACCCCCACACATGCACACACCCCCACTCCCTGTAGAATAATGTCACTGTTAGGGTTGTTACTTTGTTTATAAATAGTATAGTCTATTTCTTCAGCTACATTTATTTTTTGTGGAAGGAATTTTACTAATGATTGGTAAACAAAGGAGGAAGTTTCTTTAACTAGTCTGAATTTTTAATCACTTATTTGTGTTGCTTTTTTTAAAATTTCTTTTATATGGTTCTGTTCAGTATGGAAAATTATTGACCTACGTTCCTTTCAGTAAGTTGAATTGACTTAACAGTAAGTGTAATAATAATAATAATTTTCTCTTCTAGAGATCCCTTTGCAGCTGAGAAGGCTAAGAGTTGTGAAAGGTAATTTCCTGAGTTGCCTGTAAAACTTGCATTTAATTCCACTTCTGCTCCACTCAGAACGGCTATTTGGTGTTTCCACTGTGTTATGTGTTCTACTAGCAAAGTATCTAGTAGAAGAGAGATCGTGATTCATGCCTGAGGTGTTTAAAATACCATGCTAGTACAGTTAATAAACAAATGAAATTCTTACTGTCATAAGGGGTCACAGTAAGTTTCTTGCCTTTTGTGATTTTTTCCTTTGAGGCTTCTGTATTAGCGTGTGATTTTTTTGAACAGACACACCAGTGCTTCTAGAACTAGAAGACAGAACTAAATTGAACAATGTTTCTTTAAAGTACTTTTATAATCATAGTCTATGGAAAATGGTTTGAAAGGTAATGCTACAGAGGAGAGGAGAAAGTCTTTCTTCTGGAAGGGAGGAAAAAGAAAAAAGTGACAAGACGTTCAGGAAATCTCTTGAGAGAGATGATGTGAACACTAGTTTGTCTGCCTGATGACCGAGTAGAGGAGCAATTGATGGATTTCTGACCTGGGATTTTTTTACCAGCAGTCATTTGCTTCAGTGTCGAAGTGTTACAGACAGAGGTTTAGAAAGAAAAAAAAAAAAACCAAAACTAAACAGCATAATCTGAAAAAAGCTTAAAGTTGCTATTCCTGGTGCTGCTGTAATGTTCCTTTGCTATTTAACATATTCAAGCAGGTTTTTTTGTGTTTTGTTTTTTTCTTGAAGTGGACCTGTTCTAGAACCTTGTAATAAATTTACTTCTGGAAGTACGTCTTCAAAAATATCTTCAGGTAATGTTTAAAGTTGGTCTTTTCTTGCATTTTATGTATAAGTGTCATAATAACTGTAATTGAAGGTGGAGTAATTTCTGTTGCATTCTGCTTGTCCAGAATAAGCAGTGCAGGTTGGGTTGGCTGTGGTCACGTTTCTGCCCACATACGTGATACAGCGTGCCAGCTTTACATCGTGTTAGCTTTGGAAGGACAAGCACAACATGGTTTGGCATCAAGCCTACCAGGATAAAGTTATCCTTCCAAATACTTTGAACAAATTTAAAAACAGTTGCCTGTGTTGCCATGTACTGTATTCGATTACTTCCGACCACCCTAGACCAAAATTTAGGCCTGTTCACCTGAAAATATTTTGTTATCTTTTAAGTTTCCTTACACAAGTTGCACTTATTGTCATGATGAATATGAGCCCCAGGGATAGAAAGTCTTTTTGTTAGTGTTTTGGGGCCAGTTGTGTAAGTTATTAGTTCATGCAGTGCTTTCTTCAGAGCCCTAGTTTTGTGTGTGTTCTGATAATAAGTTTGTTCTAAAATGCACTTCAGTTGATAAAATTATATGTGTAGCTAAACTCTGCCAATGTTTCTTTTTGCAGAGGGATGGGTCTGATGAATATTCAGTGTATAGTTTTCGTGTAATTTTCAAGCTTACACTGTTTGAAATCAAATTACATATACTGTTAATCTACATGGGGTTTCATATATGTTTAGAGAAAAAAAGGTTAATGGGAGCACTAACATTGGGACTTCTGCTTGGATCACCTTTAGTTGCTTCTAGCGGATATACTGAATAGAAGTCAGGAATAGTAAACGCCTGTTGTGGTTGTTTAAATGTATTTTCAGATAATTCTGAAGACTGGAGTTGTTATTTAAAAGAGATGTTGTCAGACAAGATAGCAAAGCATAAAATAGGTAAGATTATTTTAAAATATCTTAATGTAAGTGCGTAAATACTAATCCATTCCCAACTTGGTGTAAACTTTGATGAAGGAGACACAGGAAAACACCTAGAAATGGGTTTGTGTGTCGATAAGTATTTACAGATAAAGCTTGTTAGTTCCTCTTCAGGGTACTAGGTAACCCTGCTCCAATTTTTAAGTTACTTTTTAAAACTTTTAGTGTTTCTTTTTTATTATTATATTCAACAATTATCTTTTTAACTGTCACATTTCCATTTTTAATTTTGCATTGAGTCATGACATTGCTTGCACTTCAGAACAGTAAGAGAGTTTGAATTAGTTTTACACAATGTAATGGGGGGTATAAATAACCTGCCTCCTGTGCTGGTCCGAGTCTGGATAGGATGGAACAGTGGGCATGCAGTGGATTGTACTCCCACAGTAGTCTGTTTTAATTTTTTGATTCCCTTTATTATTATTATGTTCAGAACTGTAGTTGTCTACCTTCGAAAACTATTTCAGCAAGTTTGGTTGTTTGTGTGGGTTTTTTTAGTCATTTAAATATTCTTGACTAATTTGCTCAACTCTTAAGGAGCTTTTTTCTTTTATACAAACACTAAAATCTTACTGTATTCTTATATGGCAGTTTAGAAAATTGAAATAGAGACTATATAATAGGTAAGTCTGAAGATACCTATCTGAGAAGCCTTGGAAATGTGGGCAGTTTCTGTTGGCAGAAGTGCTGTCCCTCTGGGCCTTGGAGGTGGGACGGAAGAATCTGGAAGAGGAAGGACTGCTTCTGTGGCCTCTCTTACTGTCCTCTTGCCATGACCGAGGCAGTGCCTGTTCACTGCTGCTAAAGAAATCCCGCAGATTTAAGCAGGCTTTTTAGGCTTTGAGAGCTTTGTCTTCACAGTTGTAGCATGTTTGCTGCTCCTTGTGCTTGAGCCCTTAATGTCTGTATCTCAGTGACTCATTAAGATATATAGAAAGAAATCTAATGTAAAGTCATCATGGAGACTGTTTAGGAAAAAGGTGAGTGACATGCTCGTGTATGCAAAAGAAGGCTTTTGGCAATAGTTGATTCCCTTTTCCTGTTGTGATAGCACTGTGACACAAATATCAGCTGGGAAGTGCTGACACCCTGATACAGAACAGCAGGAAAGAATCTTGCATGTTTTCCGTTTCTCAATTTTCTTTCCATGCTTAATGTGAATGATTTAATCTCTTAAATTAGTAATGCCTTCCAACTCACCTAATGTTCGTCGGACAAAAAGGATACGACTGAGACCTCTGGAATATTGGCGAGGCGAGCGTGTAAACTATACCTTGAAGCCTTCAGGTATTAGTTCCAAAATACCTATTTGCTTTCTCCTGATAGGGCAGTAAAGGGAAATCTGTGGGTTAATCTTGTGCCATGAAAGCTTTGAGATGTTTACTATTTGGTTGTTTTTAAAAAATAGGTTACTTACGGTCTCCAGCTTTTAGTCATCTTTCTGTGTAGCCTTCTTCCTCTCTTGCTACTCCTGTTTCAGATAGAAATAGTGTCAGCAGAGCATGTTACATACCCTTTCCTTAACTGTTCAGGGAAGAACCAAATGGTTTCTCTGTGCTAGTAGGTTTATTACGTCAAAGATTCTGAATGATACCAGGAAAAAAAGAAAACTTAACTGTGTCGTTCATAGGATCATTCTTCTCTGTGCAGGGATTGCTCTCCAGAGCAGATCCTATAATATTTTATCCAATTGCAGTGTTAAATGGGCTAAGTGATAGAATTCATTTTCTTCTCAGGGTTTTTTTCTGTCAGTGCAGCCTAATTTGGTCCTTTCCTAATTAATTAGTCTGCTTGAAAATAGTATTTCTTTGTGTGTCTGAAATGGATATTTTGCCTTAAAACTTGACTCTTATGCCATGGTTTTTTAAAGTGTTCTTTGACTGAAATACGATCAGATTATTTTCAAAAAGTTTTGGGTTGTATTGCACTCTAAAATACTTGATGTTGAAAAGCTTTTTGGTTTTTTTTTCTGGCTTTCTAAAGCTATCTGAAAAGTTCAGCATCAAGGAAATATACTCAGTTGAATGCTTGTAGGTTGTGCAAACCTTCCTTCTTATACAATAATTATTAAGTGGCTTAGTGAACTTTGTTGAACATCCTTTTGTTTCAGGAGCGCTTGTGATTAGTGGAATAGTGTGTCCAGAAACAGAACCTCACAGGAAGATTGTTCGGAGGAAGGGTGCTCACAAGCAGAAGAGACATGAAACAAGTATAAGCACAGCCTTTTTTTTCTTTTGATACTTTAAAAAAATAAACAACCAAAAACCAAAACCAGTAATAAAATACTCCTTTGCTGTAAGATTTTTTTTTCTCCTGTAACAACTGAATTCTCTGGGTGAAAGTAGTTTTATAATGAAATGTGCTAATGTGATCTGATGGGGAAAATCCTGTTCTTACTGCATCTATAGCAATGCTGTATGATCTTCTTGTGAAAACTTTTAACTTCTCAGTGTTGGAAAGGAAAAGATACAGGACATATCTAGAAGTGTTGTGGTGCTTTTAAAGCAGGTGTTAAAGAACAGAAGCTGTACTTCTGACCTTGATCAGCTTGTTGATTAGTGTGCTATTCATAATGCACCGTTAAGGTATAAATATTTTTGGTCATTTTAATGCTACCTGTAACATCACATCTGAAAAGGCAGGGTAAGGTGTCAACAGAGTTTTAAACTATTGTGGGCTAAGTACAAAAACATAACCAGGTAGGTGAAGGGAGAGCTTTAAGAACAGTGCACAAAATGGATACAAGTGGGCAGTAAATCTATGTTTAAGCACCCAGAAACAGGCTTTGCTAGAGCCTCCAGATTAATCAATATGTAGGTAGTGCTCAGAAGGGAGGTCGGTCAAAGTCCAAAAGCCAAATTATTTTTTCTGTGTTCTTTGTGGAAGATGTTTTGGTGCTAAAGAACCTTTCTTTCTGGGGACTCTCTAGAGCTTTTGTCTGAAGCATTTCTAGATGAAGTTATTGAACAAATAAAACAAACACTAACAAAAATGAAAAACGCCATATGGTCCTGACACAGCTCTAAAAGAAATCAGGGCTGAAACAATCATTAGAGAAATAATGAAGAAAAGAGTGAATGTTGGTACAAATTTCTGATGCTCTAGGGTGTTGCATGTAAATTTGACTCCTTACCTCAAAAAGAAAGTAGTAAGATTAGGTAAGTTTCAGAGAAGGCTTGTCAAAAGCATGGAAGGACTTCTGTACGAGAAGTGACTACTGTGGAGGTGTGAGAAAGACCTAGAAAACCACCAGTGGCCTGGTGAAGGGGAGTAGAAATAAATTGTCATTTGTTTGATTGGGTAATAAAGTGTATGAGCTGCACGTTGGAGGTGGAGAGTATTCCATGGGAGTGCTGTTACTCTATTGTAGTGTTTTTGCGGGGTGGAAGGCGGTACCTGTGTTTGGCCATTGATGGAAGACAGCATCCTGGTCCAGGTCAACCTTTGATCTAAGTGCAGTTTGTGTTTTGATAGATCTAGTTTGTAGTCCGTATAAACCTGAGCTGGCAGTGGCTGTTCATACCGTATCTTACAAGAATTACTGGCTGCTTCAGGTGCATTTGAACTGCCTTCCAGAAGTGACGGGTTTCCTCTTGAGCAAGCACTCATCCTGAGAGAGAATCTTTGGCTAGCATCCTTGAGTTTTAAGTGATGCGTACAAGGACTGTCATCTGATTAGAATTTCTAGGACAAATTCCTAAATTTTATTGATACAATAAAAATTCTCTGATTATAGGTATAGAGTTGCACCTGTTGCTGCTGCTTTTTATAGAGGGGTGGTTATGTCGGAATAAAGCCATTTCAAACACAGTAACTTTCTTCTTACCCCGACTGTCTTGGCATAAGCGTATTTAAGCAGCCATGAGTGCCTACAAAGTGCTATAGCTTGCCTTTGATATCCTTGTTCTGACTGTAGAGAAATTTCCTGCGCACCGTGGAGCTAAAATTGTCTGCTTGAGAGAGTTCTGCAAGAGAGCTTTGGGATATTTATTGTGTCGTGAAAATTCTCCAGGGTCTCTTTTCTATTTGAAAAGCATAAGGTTGTCATCAACTCTTAGGCTGTTTCCTTGTCTGGAAAAATCTTTTTTTATTATAGAAATAGTGCTCTGATTTACAACTTATGGCAAGATTCCTGTAAGGGTATTTCTGGAGAAGAGAAAATTTGAGTATGTGCTTACTCCTTTGAACATTTTCTCTCAAGTCTCCTGATGCCCATCAGCAGTAGGTAAAAGGAAGAAAACTTGTTCTTTGTAGTTTGTCATATATTTAATATCCTGTCTGAATATCCTCTCAGCATCTGTTGCTAGAAGAGCACTTCTCTTAAAATGCAGATATTTTTGAGTAAATAACTGTCATTAATCGCATAGGATAAATACTTGGTATTCCTCTGGAAAATTCTTGAGGATTTAGAGACCCGTTATCTATTATGCACAGAAATATTTCCAATGAGAACTGCTGTGGACAGTTTCCTTTTATTTGAAGAGATTGTACTCAGTCTGCTTAGTCACTTAACAAAACAAATTTAGGTACTTATGTGTGAAATCTAAAATTGTGGAAAAGCTGTGGTTATACAATAAGTTTTTAAAATGTAGAGTAATTGTTTTTCTGGTTTTGTTTTGGTTATTTTTGTCTCCTCAGGAAGTGAGATACCTGCAAATTTGGATTATGCCCTAGCTGATACTTCTAAGCCAACTGTTGTAGTGGACCCAGTAACAAATCAGGAAGTGCTTCTGGGTGAGTTGAGGGAATGTGACCAATGGCTTTTCTGAATTATAAGTGTTTAGATGGATAAGAAAAAAAATTGTTCATGCCACGCTGTCTGTAAAAAGGTGAGCTGTTGAAATATTAATTGCTCTTCTGGAGAAGATTCTGAGGGACACGTGAGAAGTGTCCTGATTCTTCAGTTAAATATTGAGTCAGCTCTTGGGGGTGTTGCACTGAAGCAATGTGTAATGTGTATGATTTAATGGATAGTTACTAAGCAAGTAACAAGACTAAGTGTCGTTAATGTTAATCTCCTGGACTTTTTTTGTAGAATGTGTTAACACTGAAAGCAGTCACTCATGCTTCTTCAAAGATGAATCGGTAGAAATATATAAAAATTTGAATACATCTTCTTTTGCCGCTGGTAGATTGATTTTGAAACCACTTAAAGAAAAGGGACTCCAGTATGTCCACATGGATACAATAGTAAGTATGCTTCTTTCTTATTTTTTTAATGGACTATATGCAAACAGAAAATTTTAGAATGGTTAGAAGTAGCACATGACGTTTCCCCCTATAATGCAAATAAATACAGAAAACATTAATGAATCATTTCAGTTGTAACATCAGTTATAACCAAAGAAACTTGCTAGAGGTGCTTTGCATGCGCGTTGTCCTGCTTTGCTTCACGTTAAATCTTTATGCCCGTGTATGCCTACTGTCTGGATCTTGCAGGGAAGATAGAAATATTAAACCAATAAAATTGCCCCCACCCTCCTTTTAAGTTGTGCATCTTATTTTTCAACAGGGTGGGGAAAAGGGGTTGCAGCTCTGATGGCTTATTTGTTTTTTTTGGTCTTTGTTACAACTTGTACACAAAAGAGATTGTGTTTTCTTGGATAACTTGAAAGTTTGCAGAGGAAGCATTGCTAATCTTAGATCCCTTTGCTTTCATTAAGGCTTTCCATGTTATCCATGGGAAAATTATTGTTACCTTACATAAGACAGTGTATTATCTGACTACAGGAGACTACTTCTATGTTCCAGCAGGTAAGCACATGTGTTGAATTTGTTGGAGATGGGAAGAGATAAGGTTGAGTAGAGATGGGTGAAGTAGAGGGTTATGAAGAAAGGAATGTGACCCAACACTGGACACGGGTGGGTGACCTACCCTTTGAATGACAGTCATTGTGGTTCAGTTCACCGCATTTTACACTTTGTGCTTGACGTATAGAAGGTGCAGAATGTCTTGTTTGATGGGTTGTAACTTCCTGTGGGTTGTTGAGAATTTAGACACCTCTGATTTTGCCCTTCTGAGATAAAAAGGGAATGAATTCCTTACGGGAAGCTGTCCTTCTGTGAGCAAGAATGCAGGCAGGAGAGTTTGTAGTAGTTCTGAAGCAGGCTGTTCGTGAAGCTGTAGAGGGCTTTTGTACAACATTGCAATGTTAGAAAATGACAAGCTACCACTTGTTTTGCCATTAACTTTTCACTCTGACATTCTGTTTTAATGATCAAAGTTCAATTAATACTCGGTGCTTTAGTGGAAGCTTGCTTGTTTTGTTTTAAGCTTAAAAGTTGAGGGGTCTGCAGAGACAATTTTGTGGTCTGGTATATGTGACCTTTATTGACATTTTCTATAGGAGTAAATTAAAGTAAATTCAGTCACCTTAAAGTTTTCATGTGGGTTTCATGAGAACTGGGAGCTCAGGCCCATTACATTCCTTTCAGTAAAAATCTTCTCAGCCGAGATGCGCTTTATTCTTACCACAGGTTGAAATAAATTACACTAGCTGTATTCCTTGTTATCGCTTTGAAATGCAACAACTTGCTGTGGGAGTGGCATCCCAGATTAGGGGCTAATATTCCTTCTGTTAGAATATATGAAATAAAAATGCACTTGGCTGAAGACAGGATGGGACTTCAAAAACTGCTAGTGGCTTCTAAAGAAAACTTCTCTGTTTTTATTTGTAGGAAATGGATATAGCATACGTAATCTTCTGAATGAAGAAAGTGTTCTTCTCTTCACACAGCTCAAAAACAGGTGAAGAACATCCTGCAGAAAAGTTTGCTGTAACACTTTTTAAGATTTTGTATGTTTAGAAGTTCTTTTTATGTACAAAAAGTGTTTTCAGTGTGTCCAGCTTAACTTTATGAATTACTAGAGGGCAGCTGAAATCAACGTAAGAGCAAAGAGCAACCCCCCCAAAAAACCCCATTATTTTACTGTCAAATGACATGCTAAAGGGCCTCGCTCTGCCTCAGTTACTGTTCTCGTGTAATCCAAAGACAGAAAGGTATATTTGTGGGTAAAGCACGTTGTTGTTACAAATTGTATTTACATACCCAATCTCCCAAAGATGCTCAGCACTTGAAAAAATGTTGACATCTTCAGCTACCATCTGATAGGCTTAATGTCTGTCTGGTGCAACCCCCTTAGAATAATCTCTGTTTAAATGCAGGACCACTGTTTGCATTCCAGTAATTGTTGTCTAGGAGATGGGCTGCTGGAATGCCTGTGTGCTAGGGTCCAGCCTTCTTCTAATATGTTAATGACAGGCCTTTCTTCCTTGTCTAGCAGATGTAGGATTTGTGCCTCAAATTTGTGTTGTAAAAGGGGGAGCTCTTAAGAGCTTATCGGTCGTATCTTTTGTATGGAAGCTGTGGCTTGATTAGCTCTGGACCTTGCGGATAGCTCTATTTTGTGTGACAGCGATAGGTCATTGCCGAATGTGTTACTTTAATATCTCCTTTTGTTTCGCTTGCTGTGCTCCTGGATAATAACGAGGACCTTTGGGAAAATTGTAATTATACTGTATACTCCAGAAGCCAAGTCTAGACAGCAGATGGTATACATAGCATTTGTCTCCCAAGCTCTTCAAGGTTCCTTCTGGCTGAAGATAAGCATAAACCACAGCTCTTCTGGTTGGGTGCTTTCTCTCCAGGTTCACTGCTGTTCTAGAAAGCAAGTTTCTCTATAGAAAAACTAATTGGAATTGAAAACTGTTTAAGGACGAAACATGTAGGGACTGAGTATTGACCTTGAAAGCAGTCTCAGCCATGATCTTTATGCTAAATCTGGGGTATACATATTGAAGTAGGAAACATGAACTGGTGTTAGTGCTTCCCTTAAGCTTTCAGTTCCAGCTAACTTCGTGTGTCTGTGAAAGGACAGCAAGGCTACCATGCCTCTATGAAACACCCTCTAGATTCAGAAATTTGACATAATACGCTTTTTTCAACCAGTCGTTCTGATTAGTGCTGACAGTGGAAATACTTCATAGAAGTTCTGTGGCATCTTTGCATTCATGGCTAGGTCATGCTCAGCTCTGAGCAGATGAAACAGAGGAACATGACAGTTGCCATTTAATTCTTCCTCTGTCTTGATACAGACTATTTGCTGTCACACAGAAGGACCTTTTTTTCTTTATTTTTTCCCAGCCTCAAATTTTGTAAGCAGTTTAAGAGTTAAAAGCCATTTAGTTGCAGCTGATAATAATTTGATGTTGTCTGCTTTTCTAAGTTCTGGGCTTGGGTTGGCCTCTTCAAGGTCAGCAAGATTCAAATATTGTCCCTTCTTGTGTTGGAGCCATACCAGCTACCAGATGGGCACACATGCTGTCTCTGTTGCTTCAGGGGATCCCACCCAGTAAAACATTTAGTTTGCAAGTCTTTCGGCTCCTCAGGCCTGCAGGGGTCTGGAAATTTGCCACTTGGAAAAGAGTACCGGGCTAGCATTAGACCACTGATCCTCTGCTCCTTGCCCAAGCAGGTCTCCCAGTGCTCAGGGTGGATGTGGTGGTCTCTGAGGCCAGTGGCTCCTTGGTTCCAGCTGAAAGTCAGCACAAGACTGCTTTTCAGCTGTGTTAAGGGCCAGGGAGTTCAGAAGGAAGATACCTTGCAAGTTTCCTTCTGCATTACCTCTCTGCTCAGACTGGGTAGCAGACGGGTGCTTTAAGGGGTTGACGAACGTGTACGGACTATGGAGCTTGTGGCCCTAAAGCAAAACGTGGATGTATGCTCTTAGGGAGCTGAAGGCAGCCTGCCTTTCCAGCACCGTGGTCTAGTTTGGTAGGTTCAGATAAGAGCTGATACACAGTTGCTGTTGTATCAGGCACCAGTGTGTCTTCCCCCACTGCACTATACTGCCTGCAACTTGTCAGCAAGGTTTTAAGTGGCTTTTCTTGGGGTCATGAGGAAATGATGATAAAACCATCCTTCAGGATGTTTTTCTTAAGCAGAAGCAACACATGTGCAGACCTTTTCCTGACATGGCCTGGAAAGTGGCAGATGTTCAAGTGCAGGTTCCAGGTCAGCATGCCATGAATGCCTGCTTGTGTTTTCCTCTTTCTGTGGCTGGGAGCATCAGGGGAATAGGGTGGGTTTGGTCAAGTATGTAACTTACAAGGCTGGATGCTTTTGTTGCTTCCTGGCTAGTTGATTGCTTGTGAGAAATGTCCTGTATAGTTTGCGGACAACATTTTTTAGTTGCACTGTTGAACTTCATCTCAAAATGTTTGTTGGTTGTTTTTTTTTGTTTTAAGTGGCGAAATCAGTTGTGCCAAGCGTGGTGCTGTATCTAGGATGTTGCTTTAGTTTAGAAACAATTCCCCTTTTTGCCGCGAGATGGGGCTTCAAGCACAACTGTTTGTCCTTGCCCAGCATCTACGTTCCGGAGGTTTGTGGAAGGGAGGAAGAAGAGTATGCTACAGATGGAGATAAATTCAGTTGAGTTCTGTTGCGAGCAGATGTAAATCAGTTTCCATTAACATTAGGACTTGGCACTGAACCTTGCTAAGTTCATTCTGAGCATGTATGTTGTACTAGTTGCAGCCACTCAAAGCTGATTTTTAAAACATTAGTGAGCAGCAGGAGTTTAGTTGAGCTAGGCTGTTTACCGTTTGTCTGGATTGCATTTAATTTTTTTTTTAACTGAACCCTTGTGAAAAACTCATTTCCCTGTCATTAGCCTGAATACAGTGTGAGGAGGTGCAGGAGAATGTTCTGCTTGAGTTGCAGGACTTGTATGGGTGCTGAGGTGCGCAGCGTGGCAAACAAGAGAAGCAGCAGATGTTTCACCTCTACCTGGTCTTGCTTTGGCTCCCACTTCCTATGGTTTTGGTTATATCAGGCTGCCAGTAGTCGTGGGTAACCTTTGGTGGTCTACTTTTCTCCTTTACCAAATGGGATATTGCAAAGAGAGAAAAAAGCCTTCCCTGAAATCTGAGAAGTTGGCATTCTTCTCCCTGCCTCTGTGTGATTCTTCTTATCAGCATTTTTTCTGCTCTGTTGAGTGATCTGACTTCCACTGACTGCTGTGATGGTTTCAAAATATATATGGCAATTATTTAGACTTGGTAAAATGCTGAAGTAATAGCTCGTACAGAGTATGTTGGAGCTCTGTAGCTTAAATATATATTCTTAGGGTTTCAAAAATGTTATTTATTGTTGTAGCTTTTAAATTATTTCATAGACTATAATGGCTTTACGTGCCCAGCTTGGATGGCACAACTTTTTACTTATAGTAGTATACAGAACATCGCCTCTAATGGTGGGAGAGATCGGAGCCAGATCAAAGCCTGTCAGCCAGTGTCACCTGCTGTCGCGTGAAGCTGGGATTGCTGTGAGAGATACGTGGCCTTTGCTGCTCCCGGTGTGGTACACGTAACGTTCCTGGCGGATAGCACGGGTTTAGTGTATGCATTCATCACTTTCCGTTAGCAGTAATTGAGAGAGCTGAGCCCAAACAAAAGGCAGTCATGTATTTCATCAACTTCGTGTTGGTGGGTACACATGTTCTGTGGCAGGAATTGTGGTAACAACTAGGGGTGTATTTGGAGGAAATGAACTGACAATGTCTCGCCACCATAAAAAGTCAGATTTTGGTAAGGCTTTGGCTCCTTTTGAGGAAAAAATACTTTACTGGTTAGTAGGTTCTTTTGAAAATCTAAGTTTCTGTAGTTTCGTTTGGTTACAAAGCTGTTCCTGTCTTACTAAACAAAGCTTTTTTGTAGGTTAAAGCGGCAGAAGAATGGTTGCAAAACTGTCAGATGTGTACATACATATTTATACAACTCTGTAAACATAAAAGAAGATAGTATGAGCTGAGTAATTACAGAAAAATAAACAGCGCCAATAAAACGAACTGTTGAGGCACATATACTATTCTTTCTATTTTCAAGTACACAGCTGAATTGGTTATCTGCAGATGATTTTAAATTAACACTTGGGGAATGCAATAAACCTAAAGAGCTATTTTCTCATTTCATAACAGCTGAAAAGGCATTCCAGCATGAAGGCATATTTCTTACATTTCTACAGATGTATAAACTCTGTTGGATGATGTCTTTTGTAATGCAGGATTTTCTTTAAGTGGTGATTGATTGCAGATAATACATCTAACTGAAGAGTATGGATCGTGCCTCTTTAATGGTATTGACAGCTGTTGTAACTGAATATCTTAGTCTTCCCAAGCTGGTATGTTTCCTCTTCAGAATATCCTGTTGCTTCATGGATGTTCACAAATGTAGTCAGAAGAGATCTCAAAGCCAAATATTTCTCTGATTGCACGGAAAAGCTTCATTTAGGATTTGACAACCAAAGCGATTCCTGTGGTCCAGCTTGAAGATGAAAACAATAGTTGATCGTCAGTCAAAACAGCTGGCTGCAGATTATTAGGGAATGAATATGTTAGAGTGCTCGGTGTCCTTAGGCACACCCACAAAGCTCCAGTTTAAACTGCTGTGCCCAAGTAAAGGCGCGCACAAAGACTGTAAAACCACATTTGCTGTGCACTTCTGCAATCTTTTCTTGTTTGGAGCACAAGAGGGGCAGCAGATGAAAAGAAGAGCTGAAAGAAGCCAAGTGTTTATTTTCTCAGTCTGACTGTTCAGTTGACATGCAAATCTAAAAGTCTTCACAGAAGAACGTATTAATGTCCTGAGCAAGATTTCTGACTTCTCTTTGCAGCTTGATAGGTAAGGACTTTTACATTTGAAAGCTGAAGAATTACAGTGCTCTTGACAACTATTTAGGAAGTTTATTAAATGGGTACAATAGCTGTTAACACATTTAGTTACAATTTTTTTAATGGTCATGATGTTTAAGTTGCCTTTTCCTGTGTTTTCAGTATCAGTAGCTGAAATTAGAACTGATCAAGATGGGAGATGTATGGTAACACCACGCGGGTGTCTTCTGGAATCAACCTGCTGTAAAGAGGGAGAGGACAGGAGTGATAACAGAGGTGTAAACACAATGCAGAGCTATAGTACTTGCAAAGTAGCATCCAAAGGTGTTGCAGACAGGCTTGTCTAGGTTGTGCAGAGGGTTTTCAATGAAACTCAGTAACTTTTGGAGGAACACAAAGTGACTTTTCTGATTGGTAAGGGAAACCTTTCCGGTGTGGTGCCATGAGAACTGAGCTGTCTGTGCTGGTAACCCTCACTCTTGGTTTGGGATTCTAGTAGGCTTATGATCACTTGTGTTTAAGAGCATTAAGTCATCTTATCTAAAACTGCAGGATTCAGCTAATGAACATGATGTCTAATCCGCTGAACAAGAGGCCTGAAATTACTGAGTTTGATCATTTCTTTAGGTTATCGTCACTTTTGTGTTGTAGGACAGAGGGGGGCAATTACAAGAAGTGAAAGTTAATTATGAAGTTTTTTTTCAAACACCATCTGAACTTTAAATTTTATTGCTGACAAAGAGGGGGCTCCCCTTGGATGCAGTTGCCTATATGCTGAAGAAACTAAGCACTTCTATATTTCAGTAAGTGCCAAGTCAGCTCTGAGGCTAATTAATCAAAACAAATTTACAATTAAGCCCAGGAAGGGAGACTAATTAAGTAGCCAGTTAAAAAGTGCTGAAGGAGGGATCAGCCTTAAGGAGAAAGTATGAGACTCCCAGTATTGGCCCATGAAGGACAATTAAGTGATAATTGCAGAGGCCTTTCTGTGTCCAGCACATGCTCTCTGGGCTGGTTTTCTTCATATTAGTAGAAGCAGACATTTGCCTGTTGAGCAGCTAAGCTTTGCTGTGTGCTCTTACGGTAATTCACAGGTAAAGCACAGAGGTGGCTGCAGGAATAAACTGGAGCACAGCTGCCAGACTTGAACCATATTTTTGCCAGCGAAAAAGCCCCACTGTGTTTTTAAGACAAAGTAACTCTGTTTGCTTTATTTGTCTCTTCATTTTGTGGCATACCGACTCCATCTTAGCATTCTGTTTAACCTTTCAAATAAATTACATGGAGTGAATTCTCTCATCAGAATGTAGAATAGCTTCATTTTGTTTGGTTGCTAACCCCGCTGAAGTTCACAGGAATCGTTACCTTGTCATCAAATGGCTTCTGTTGCCTGCATCCTGCACCCATGCTGCATTACATACCTGTGTTTCTTGATGGAGAAAAGAGGGGGGAAACAATAGTAATATTGTTCTTACTCAGAATAATTTAGCTCCTCTTCTGAAAGGCTTTTTAAGCTTGCGTTGGTTTCACTGCACAGCTCATCTCTGGTGAGATGCTGAGGGCTGCAAATGAGGTGCGTGCCCCAGTCCTCCTCCACCCCTCCTTTCCCATTTCCTTGGAACTGGGATGCTGATAGGTACAAAACCTGTCTTAACTGGGCACAGGCATGGGATAAGAACTTTATTTTTTTTCCACTTACCTGGAATTTGAATTATTTCAGAAATTCCAAAGAAGAGGTCTCCTCATGTAAAAAAAAAAAAAAGATCGTAATTTCCTTTCCTTCATGAAATTCCATATGTGCATGCCAGTGTGAGGCACTGTGTCCTGCTATGTAGGCTGGCAGTTCTCCTTGAAGTATCTGTCAAATGCGTGCTTTTGTGTGTCTCTTCTTTAAATCCCACCTTGCAGTGTGCTGCAGGAGGAGGCATTTGCCTGCCACTGTTCCAGCTCCTCAGCTGCTGTATCAAATGCCAATCTGCTCCTTCATTTTTTTTGTCTTGCTGCCTAAGCTAATTCTTCCTTTTTTTGGATGCATTTCTGTTACCAAAGGCTTTTTTTTTTTCTTTTCCTGTTTGCTGCTTGCACAGATTCTATCACTTTTCTAACTCGGTTCCAGGTATTTGAATTATTTCAGAGGTGTTCTTGTACCTGAAAGTTCCTGTTCCTCTGCTACCTCGCCTTCAAGGTCTGTACAAGCCCTGGCAAAGCTCACGATTTTCTCGTTCGGAGAAGTGATGCAAAGCTTCCTTTGGTCTCTATTCTTTGAAAGACTTTTGTGTAGTTTTAATCCCAAGAAGGCTGGTTTAGGGTGTCACTGCCAAGGTCTTTGCTATTATTGTCACCTGCTGTTTCCCAGACTGCAGAAGCAGAAATGAGACCTCAGGCCCATGTGGTTGTCCTTCAGCCTCATCCATCTCTTGAGGCTGGTCCTGCAGTGCTGAAAGATTCCATCCCAGCACCGTTCTAGCTGGACAGACTTATCCCGGAGCATCGGAACATTGTGCTTTTTACTCCTCTTGCAGCACTAATTCAGCGTGCCGGTGACTCCTTTTGCCTTGGCAGGATCCTGCTGTGGCTCTGCCATCGCTTAGGCACCGTGCCATGATGTGCTTTTTATCGGCAGGCTAGTCCAGGCGCTCACCTGCTCCCACATCATTCCTCTCGCAGTGGGAACGCTGCTTGGCACCCCCTGGTTTTGGCACAGAGGTCTGGCATGGCAGCGCGTGCCCATTGCTGCAGATTTGCCTTCCCAACACCCTGTTGCTGCTTGACTTTACTGGTAGATGCCAGGAGAAGATAATCTCCCTGGTTGTTGGTGTTCCTGTGGTGTCTCAGGAGGAGCAAGCTTGACTGAGTAAGCTGGAGGATCTGGGTGGCCCTCCAGGATCGCCTCCCTTTTGGTCCTTGCTCCGAGGTGTCCCTCGAAGGAAGACACGTACCTGGGTTGGATGAGAAGCCCACTGATCGGTTTTGGGGAATTGGCTAACCATTTTCTGCATATAGACTCCAAAACATTTTGGAAGAAGATATTTTGTTAGTGGGCTGTTATTTCACTTGCAAGTCTTAACAGCAGGCTTCATTCTGTATGTGGGCTAAAAATCTGGCCTCTTGTGCAGTCCAGGCTATCGAGTGGCTGCTTTTTCCGTGTGACTCAGCATCTGGAGTCATAGTCCTCAGCTGTCACTTGATGGGGAGTTGCATCAGACGTTATTCTCTCAGTTGGCAACAGTTTTAATTCTTGGACTTTTCCCTACTATCAGCAGCTTTATGTGGCCTTTGGGACTGTAAATCATAGACTGTGGACCAAATGTGAGCTTAAGCGAATTGAAATACACACAGGATTTTTATGAAAATGGTATGAAACTTGCACGCAGGTTAGCTACTGAGGCCTCTTGTTCCTGCACAAAATACGACATTTCACGTTAGAGATGGCATAAAAAATACACGCGGAACAAGTGTCAGTGTCACAGCCAAGTGTGGCTTTGACAACTCTGAACTTTGCACAGAGGAATGCATTCGTTAGAGACCACTTTTGGTTAAATTAAATTAGGCTAATGTGCTCTTCTGAGCATAATTGAAATGATAGTAATATTTTTATTGATTTGCCACTGGAGTATGCGAATGCTCTAATGTCCCTGCTGCTGCGAGTACAATTTGCAGTTGTTCCACTTTACTGTCTAGTAACTCCCTAATACTATGGCACAGTCAGGCCTTTGTTTAGCTGTGTTAATCTGAACTAATTTCTATTTCTTTTATGATTTAGACCAAAAGCAAGAAGCATGTTGATGGAGACCTCTTCACCATAACTTTGCAAATTGAAGATCATCTGATGCAAAGGAGTTCTAAGGAACACCGTAACTACCATCCCAAATGCACCCCACTTCTGGGGACACGTTCTTTCATTGATCTTAAGAGATCTTCCACCAATGTAAATTGTAAATACATGGTTTGTTACAAATTACTTCTTCTTTTATGTCAATAAATTAAATAATGCAGATCAGTTTTGACTTCTTTCATTTCTAAATCGTTTAAGAATCAATTTTCTAGTAGTCTGTGTGGTTTTGAAAATGCAGGTGATTGCATGGGTTTCTGGCTGGTAAATATTTATAAACAACATGAGTTACCTTGAGTGGTTTCAAGGATGTCACCAACAGTGAAATCTTTTAACTGTTCTGTTGGAGTTGTTGAAACTCTTAAAAGGAGTTTGAAAGGAAAATACGCCAATGCAGACTGGCTTTGAAAAAACAACATTCCTGGCTGACAGGGGCTTTGGTTCCAATTCGCATCCCTGCTGTTCCTGCCACAGTTATACAGAAACTCTGCGTTGAAATGTTGCAGAATTCGTTTGGTTTTCAGGTAAATCATAAACAGAGCTACATTCTGCTGCAGTTTCACGATCATTCAGTGCTCCTGAGATTTGGTATTTGATGACTTACACTCCCCTCCGCATTCTCTATGAAATTTTCAAGGTGTTTCCATACAGCTGGAGATGGCGCTCCCTGAGCGTTACCTATTACGGCAGGTCTCGCATAGTCATCAGAGTGAAATAAAATGAAAACGCCTCCCATCCCTTTGGGAAAATATGGTCCATTAGTTTTTCATTTGCCAGGAGCATCAGTTTTTAATATTTTTCCCTTTCCCTTTGTCTCCTGGGAATATCAATCTGCATAGATCTATTATTAATCCACAGCAACGAGCTCATTTTCTCAAAAATCTTTACTGTGGGTAGTAGAAGTAGGTCTCTGTAGGAATGATTTAAAATCTGAATTGGACTCAAGGCTACTGTGCATAGTGCTGGGTTGTTGGAGGTGGGTTTCTTTTTTGTGGCGGTGTGTGTTTGTTTTTAAAGTATCTGCCTCATCTGAACCCCTGGTTTTTTTCGAAGGGTTGTAGGTGTTGTCTGGCATTTAAAAGCTGGGAGTCTGGATCAGTATTAAATCTGGAACCAAAATAATTTTTGAAGGTGAGAGGGTGAGGAAAAAAAAATCTGAACATCAGTGACATATGCTGTGAAGGGCAGTGGATTAAGTTATGTGAATGTTGCAGAGAAGGGAGCAGGAGGGATTTTCCCCTCCTGGAAGGTTCTGAAAGCTCCATTTGTAACACTCACTCCCATCAACCCTGCCCCGTGTCACATCTTCCCCGTGAGAGCCTTGTTGAAGTGCAGGCTTTAGACCCGCAGCTCTTGTGGTTCCTGGAGCCCCCTCTCACCTCTGGTTTAACTGAAGCGATGGAGGATTGGGCTCAAGCACCTGGGTAAGCACGCGGACGTGCGCGATGCTTGTGCCCGTGTGCCGTGCAAAAGGGGAAGGGGAGGGTGGCACGGCCATCTGCCAGAGGGGACACAGAGCGCTGCCTTGCTCTGGGCAGCTGCTGTGTTGGTTGCTTTGTAGGATCCCTCAAGGAGGAAGCGGATCTTGGGACTCTTTCCTCGCCCTGAGTGTTCAGATTTAGGAATAATCCATCTTTTTCTGTTACGTGCCTTAGCCTGGAAGAATTGGAATGTGAGCCCTTCCTATGCCAGTTAGAATCAGTCGTAACTTCACAGAAGGGCAGTTCCAGTAAAATCTGTATGGTGACACAATGGTAGCTTTTGGGAAGCACAGAGCCTTGTTGTCTTGTATTTTTTGATGTCTTTGTCTTTTTTTAGCATAGTGGATAAAAATCAAAGTATTGGTCTTTTATTATCCCACGTGGCTGGCTTTCTCCCTGTGCACAGTGGGTTATCCACTGGCCCAGGACCAAGCAGAGGTGCTGGTGGTCGGGCTGTACCCCAGCTGCAGCCATGGCGTGTGAATTACTCGCTTGGCACATGCCATGAGCCACAGAATCACTGCTCGGGGATCACCAGCCGGCTCTGAGCTTGGTGCTTGTTTGGGCTTTGAGATCCGGTGGCTGTAAAGGCAGATGCTTGTACCCAGGACTTGAGAGCAGCCTCAGAAGCTCCACGTTGTCTGGTGGTGGTAGAAGTGATGATTCCAAGTCAGGTTTATTGCATGCCTTTGGCAGCTCGGGTTGGTTTTACCGTGAGTCTCGTGTATTTTCACTATCTTGAGCTAGAAGGATCCTCCTGTCCTGTAGGAAACAAACTGGTCACGCTGGTATGGGGTCTGCTGGTGCGCGACTGCGTCCTCCTGCAATTCAGCTGTTACTAAAATAAGACTCTTATTCCTCTGCAGTTCCAACTCGTCTCTTAAGGATCGTGTGATTTATTTGGTTTTTCCCTTTTCTGTTTTGGACTGGGTGTTATCCATACACACGCACGCTTAACCGAAAGAAGATACATCAAACCAGGGCCAAGTGTTTGGCAGCGTGAGGCATCAAGCCTGTAGAGTGGAGTTCATTATGCATTGTGCAAAGAAAGCCAAAGGATGAGGCGTGGGAAGCTCTCCAGCTGCCTCCTCTGCCAGTTGTTCTGCTGTTGTACCTGCTTCCTAGTGCTCCGAGATCCCGGTCTGTGCAGGAGGCAGAGAAAAGCCTCTTTCCAGCTCAGAATGATTGCATTTCTTCTGTTTTTTTATTTTTCCTTACCTCATGAAGGAAATAAACATAATGTAACTAATTGGCAGGGTTTACAGATGGGATTTCAGCCAGCCCTGAGGACTCATGGGCCCCAAGCCCCATGCTTGACTATTTTAAATTTATGGCATAAAAATCAGGCTGCTTTAGGTTACTCGCTGGTAAATGTTGCGGAAAAAAAGGCACTTGGACCAGCGCTGAGCCAAGGGAACTCAAGATGCAGCCTGGTATTTACTGCCCAGAGCTTCCCTGCTGCTGGTAACATTTCTCACTCACACGCACACACAAAGGGTGGCTGGTGTGAACGCTTCTGAATTGGCAAAAAATTTTAACACGGTGGCTTTTGGCTGCTGGTGCCTCTTCCCTTCTTGAAGGCAAGCAGGGAACGCAGTGCAAGCCCTTTGGCCAGAACAAACCAGTCAGATGAGACTGCACTTGGCTTTCAAAAATGTTTTTCCAGATTTGTTAGGTAGCTTGCATAATCTCACTCTGAATGAATGAACGCGGTGTTTTGGCATGGTTTTTTGTTTGTTTGACCTTTTTTTTGGCAGTTCAGCCTCCAAAGAAGCTGATGGCATCCCCCTGTGCCCTCAGCCAGCGTAGAGACTGGGAAAATGAATGGAGGAGACAAGGAAATGGACACAAAGGGAAAACAACCAAAATACACTGAAAATACTGATTTTAAGTCGTGATGTTTTGTGTAAGTTTTTTCCCAGCTCTGAGAGTGCCTGTTGCTCTTTCCCCTTTCCTGTGTGCCCAGGCTCCCGAGCACAAAGCCTCCACAGAGACCCGATGGCCCATCCTTGGCGCTGGATGTGGGGCTGTGCCTCCACGGAGAGCGGTGCTGCCAGCTGCCTTCCCCAGTCTCAGGGCTGCTGGGAGCGGCTGTTTCCCAGGGAGCAAACCTTGCTGTGCTGCCCTGGGCTCCAGGAGGCGGGCGCTGGAGGAGGGAGGAAACCAAGCCAAGCTTTTACAGAGCTCTTGGAGGGATGCAGAGAGATTTACACTCAGGCAAAGGAGGCCAGCATCTGCCAGCGATGCGCATCCCTTCTCTGCTCAGGGGGTATCTGTTAGTTTTTGGTGCACGCAGTTCTGCTGCGGGCGGTGTTTGCATCTTAGCTGGCTCTGGTTTTGAGAGCTCGGCTCTGTCCAACAGATGATTTGCTGTTTTATGTTATGTCTCTGCGCTGAGCCTGCTGCCCTCCGCTGCCTCACCTTTTCAGAGGGTTGTTCCTGTGATCCTCCTTAATGCTTTCATGTGATTACAGTTTGTGTTTTTAATTAATTGAGGAGAGTTGTCCTCTTGTTTATATCCATGGAAACTGACGCCGTGGGTTTTGAATCACTGAATTTATACCCAGGCAGAACTGCTGTCACAATCACTGCCTGCTCCATACAGGCATATGTTTGCCTTCTGAGAGCCTGTGTTTACAGAAGATAGTGACTAAACTCCTTATTTTAGAATCCATTGGCTTTATGCTTCATAGCCACACTGCTGCAGTCCAAGCGTTACAAGAGTTAACGTTCAGTGGAGCCCATGCCATGGCTTGGAGCTTCTAGTCCAAATATCACCTCTGCAGGTGAAATTTCATTTATTTTATGACAGACGGTTAAGAGGAGCACCCGAATGGGACCAGAGGTTGATGGTTGGACTTGATAATCCTTGAGGTCTTTTCCAACCTTAATGATTCTATGATAGGTGGAAAAGAACTAATATTTAACGCAATGCCTTTCCCTGAATGGTAGCGATACCAAGACCACGTAGGTAGCTAATGCAGAACAGCCATCCTTTTTGGTTGCATGCCTTGCTCCCTTCGTCAGGTATGTCTACAAACTCCGCATGGGGAGTGGTGTGTTTTCCGCTGTGCTCTGTAAAAGTTTTGTGATCTCAAAACGTAGCTTCTGCTTTCCACTAGAGGCCGATAAAGTGCAGGACAAGGCTGCTGCGAGGCTTTCAGCAGAAAGCCCCATCTTTTTTTCCCCTTGCAGACCTGTTGCTCAACTGTTTTATTTCTATCTTGCTGATTATTTCTTTTTGTAGAAATGCTTCACCCTCTCATGAAGTGGAATTCATTTGCTAATTCGTTCTTCTAGTGTTTTGTTCCCAAAACCTTCAAGGAGCTATAGTTACCCTCTTGATTTGCTCATACAAATTCCTTCCACATTTTCATTTCCTAGCTGTTAACTCCGTAACAACCTCCGTGGAATAAGGAGACATCAAAACGGCGATGGAAGCAGTGGGTAATACCAGTGCTTTGGTCTGTCAAGAAGTTCCGGAAATGCTATG